ACTCCAGCCCTAAGGAAAAATACAAAAAGCAGAAGAGGATCCTCGGCACCCTCTGGTGGGCAAGCCTGAGGATCCCAACACCTGGAGTCCAAAGATCAAAACTAAGAATAAAACACAAGTCTAGACGTACCAAAAAACCAAGGAGACATCAGGGGAATCAAAATCACAAGGAGGGCTCAGAGAGACGAAGTGGAGGAAGACTGACGAGATTTGATGATGTTTGACCCAGCAAAGGGGAACTGAAGAGAGAGGGCTTTTAAAGGAGACTGAGACAAAGAGAGGGCTAATGAGGAAACTGGGAGCAGGTGTGCACAGAACAAGAGAGGGAAAGAGCTAGGGAAGAAAGAGAACACAAGAGGGTAGCAGAGGGCAACAAAAAGAAACCCGGAAGACTGGAAATAACAACAAAATAATAATAAAACTACTAGGACTATAAAACAAAGAAAACTAAACACTCAAAAGAAAACATAACAGAACCCAGACTAGGACAGTAACTGGGAAAAGAAACCAAAGAACACAGTAAAATAAAAATAAAACCACTAACACTAGAAAACAAGGAGTAAAGCAAGACTGAACAGTAAAAAGAAAATATAACAGAACCAAGACTAAGACAGCAACTGAGAAAAAACCAAAGAACTCAATAAACTAAGAATTAACCCACTAAAACTAGAAAACAAGGAGCAAAGCCAAACTGGATACTCAAAAGAAAAACATAACAGATTTCTGACAACGACGAACCCACTTTAAGCGTTTAATCCCTGACCTGAAGGGCTGGAGGGAGAAATTTAGTGTCTTACTGTTGTTGATGATAGTGTGGTTAAAAATCAGTGCCTCTGCGATTTGAAAATTCAGCTTTATTAAATTGTGATTATATTGCAAATGCAATTAATTGCCCAGCCATTCTTCAGAGGAGACACAGAGCAGCAGCAGAAATGGGGGTGCTCAGAGCAGGACGTGACATCATAAATCTCTGTTTATTAAAGAAATACAGCATGACGTTTGACCTTCCGTCTTAGTATCATTTAAAGGTATTGTNGCTCAGAGCAGGACATGACATCATAAATCTCTGTTTATTAAAGAAATACAGCATGACGTTTGACCTTCTGTCTTAGTATCATTTAAAGGTATTGTGAAGGATTTTCGTGAATTTTCGAAAAGACCCGCCCTCTCCACTTTAAACAAAAATGCACATGCACAACCCTGTACCCGCTCCCGAAACGCCTATGAAACACCTGTGAGAGCGCACACAAGCCCATTGCTCTTCATGCACGCTCTGTCTGAAAGCTGATGTTTGCATCGCTCATACAAGCTTATGTTCCAAAAAAAAGATTAGCAATTTTCCCATTATGTCAGGCTCACAGTCGGTAAGTGAAAATGGTGACAAGCACGTAGTACGGCGTTACGTAAACATATCATCAGAATGATTGAGAATTAGTCCTCTTAGTCTCTGTGCTGCCCTACGATGGACTGTATGGACAATAATGACCTCACATATAAGTACATTTTTTTAAAGAACATTTGGTAAATAGAAGTAAAGTTACTAAATGTCACTCTGCATAAAATACAACAGTACCACGTGAAAATTTAAATTAACATCTTAAATTATTAATTGATGAAGCACTTTTATGCTGCACAAGTATAAAACATGGCAGTATTTCTGACTCGTTGAACCCCAGTCAGCCTCAGCAGATGGCCGCTCACACTGAGCCTGGTTCTGCTGGAGGTTTCTTCCTGTTAAAAGGGAGTTTGTCCTCTCCACTGTCGCTACAAGCATGCTTAGTGCTTGTATTTGAGTCAGTGACTCAATGCAATCAACTGGTTTTCCTTAGATAGAAAACTCTGAATCAATGTGACTGGATGATCTGGTTTAACTGTAAAGTGCCTTGAGATGACGTGTTGTGAATTGGCGCTATAGCAATAAACTGAATTGAGTTGAATTTTATTAAATTTTAAAGTAATCATTTTATTTTTACATTTCTAATTCTCAACAAAAGTCACCTACTTTACAATAAGATATTATAAATCGTTGGAAGCTGCTCGTGGTCAGCGCTAATGATGCTGCTTTTAGCTNGACCTTCCGTCTTAGTATCATTTAAAGGTATTGTTAAGAATTTTTGCGAATTTTTGAAAATTCCTGCCCTCTCCACTTTAAAAAAAAATGCACATGCACAACCCTTACCCGCTCCCGAAACAGAATGCCTGTGAAACACCTGCGACAGCGTGCACAAGCCCATTGCTCGAACGGATGTTTGCATCTCTCATACAAGCTTATGTTCCAAAAAAAAAGATTTGCAATTTTTCCACTACGTCAGGCTCACAAGTGAAAATGGTGACGAGCACGTAGGATGGCGTTACGTAAACATATCACCACAATGATTGAGAATTAGTCCTGTTTGTCTCTGTGTTGCCCTGCAATGGACTGGCGACCTGTCCAGGGTGAACCCCGCCTCTCTCCCGTAAACAGCTGGCCATAGGCACCAGCACCCCTCGCCACCCCACTCGGGATAAAGCGTGTCAGAAAATGGATGGATGATTGACAATTAGGAGAACCTCTTATTTTGATGATCCACCTGGAAAAAGAACATCCTCCACTTTAACATATATTAAATGATTTTGCAGCACTTGATGCATATTGATGCTTGTACCCTTCCCTTCACTAAATCTCGCCGATGTAACTTGAAATTGATCCCTCACTGAATGGTTCATGTGGTCCACTTTACAGCAGTCTGAGCTCCCATCACAGACCAGAGCTGACTATGCTGTAACAGCCGTTGTTATGCAACCAAACAAATGTGCCACCTGCCTGATCAGGCAGATTTTTAGTAATATTAAGTAGGATTTACTCGAGAGGGGTAAATGTGGCCTTTACTTTACCAGGAACTCCATGGCCGTGTCCGAACGTCGTCCCTAACACCTCTTTACCCCCTCTGGGTAAAGAGGGAGGGGCGAGAACAACATCCAGGGACTTTGTCCGTTCTCGGTCTTGTGTTCTAGTGAATTGGAACAGTGCTAGGGCTGAGGCTGATGACTTTTCACAAGCACAAGGGTGCATAATGCACAAGTGCAGGATGCACAAGTATGCTGTTACGTTCAAAAATGTAGGTTCATAAAAGAGAAACTGAGTCCACACAGAAGAGGGATTTTTTTAACGGCTTCTGCAGAAGGAGAGAGC